AAGCTATGTTTCATATCTGTAGAATAGGTAGTTATTGAGTTATCTTAGGAACAACGTTAGGATAAATTACTTTTCTTACTTTTCTTACTTTTTTTACTTTTCTAAAAAGCTATATAAACTCTCCCTTTTCCCCTTTCTATAAAATCAGTTCTGTAGCTTTTTACAGTTCTCTAATAAAGTACTAAGTTCTCTATTAGTTCTTTAATAAATATAATCTTTTGGCTTTAAAAATAAATTTCTTTAACAAACTGCCATAGTGAAGTAATATTTCACTTGAACACCATTGGGAGTCCCCCTTCCGTGTCTTATATTACTTGAGATGTATTAAGAAGGCTACACCACTTGTAACAGTACTCAACTTATAGTAAACCTTGTTCATTTCTGAAGTTGTAACTCTATAAATCATATTGCATCAATATCATTCAGATATTAGAAGTGTGATGAGGCATTTGAAGAGACATAATGTTATATGAATAAATCTTGATAGGATCTACAAGCAGAGACCTGCATAGTAGAAATTCTGAGTTAGTGAAGTAATATTGCTTTCAACAGTCATACTAGCTAACGTTTAATTCAGAAGGATAGTATGCTCAAAGATTTTAATTGAGTTAGCTATACATAAGTCTGTATCATAGTAGGAATCACTATATGTTATAGTAATACTAATCTGGCTTAGCAACTAACTAGATTAGGAAGATCTAACTTATAATAGACCTTAGATAGATCTTAAAATGATACTGGTGGAGAGCTACAGTAGGAACTAGGGTTGTATGAATATCTAGAAAAGTCTAAGCTAGATAAATTTGTGAAATAAATATGAGCTGCTCTAGTAGGTATACTTCAAGATTAACTAGCTCTGCAGATATTCATAGTATGTTGAGTATAATATAACTCAAGAGGACCTAAGCTAAAGTTGATAATAGATCTGCAATGAACTAGCTGAAGTAAACAGTTAGATATTATAATGATATTAGTTTGTAATAGTATAGGTTAGTTGAATAGAGTGTTTAAATAGATAACTCACAAGTAGGCCTTTGCATGGGCCAGATAGAACCAGATAATGAATATACTCAGATCTAACTCATCTGTATAAGGGCTTTAATATCTGAGTTCAAGCTCTACTCTAGGGCTTAAAACTTAATACTCTAGCCCAGCTCATGTGAGCTGAGAGTATTCGCGAACTATCTACGGGTTTATAATTTTATACAAATTCAGTAAACATATAAGTGAAAATTTCTAATTTTTATATCGATATTGTTTTGTGATTATTTAAATTTAATCGATTATTTAAATTTAATCAATTATTTAAGTGATATTATATAATTACTAGGAGTAAAATATAAAAGTATAATAAAATTATATGATTGAATTTAATTGGTTAATTGCTTTTCTTTGTTATAGATTACTTATAAATTGTATTAATTCTTCTACTAATTTTAATTATTAATTAGTTAATTGTTTTATTATGCTTATAAATAATATTTAATTTTTTATCTTTTAATGATTTTATTAGTAAAAATTATGAATTTATAGTTTTCTGATTTCATTATCACTTTATTTTAATATTCACTAAATTCTTATCAAAAATCCTAAATAGGCTTACAATTACTAATTACAATGAATTACTTTTAAAATTTTCTATCAATCATGCTATATCATATTGGGGTGTTTGGTATATTATGTAAATCAAAATTATAAGTAGTATCATATAAAAAACTATTATTTGATTTTGCTTAAGTACTATAATAATTCTTCGCAAATTTTAAATAGATATACAATTCTAACAGCTTGATAGTTTTAATAAAATTTTGTAACTACTAATATTATGTCACTACAAACTTTGTAGTGACATAATATTTGTAGTTACAAAATTTTATCTAAAACTATTAAGCTGTTAGGGTTATATATTTATTTAAAATTTGCGAAGAATTATTATAGTACTTAAGCAAAATCAAATAATAGTTTTTTATATGATATCACTTATAATTTTAATTTATATAGTATACTGAACACCCCAATATCACATGTATAATTTGCTCAAGTTTTATTTAATATTATTACTAAAATTAAATAATTACAAAAAAAATATCAAATTTACAAATCCTATCAATATTTAGTTGCTGCTTTTAGCTAATTTTGCTAGCACATTAGTGTAGTTATTATACTTAGATCTAGTGAAGTATGATTATTATCAATAATATGACCAGCACAGCTAAATATCTGTTCAGATGCAACACTTGTTACTAGTACAGAAAGAAAATTCTGTGCTATTACAGACAAATTTAGAAAGTGATTTGTATTAAGTCTTCACTATTTGAGAATATTCATAGCTTTAGGAACAAGATGTTTATCAAGATATTGTTTGACTTCATAAAGTGTATCATATTGACTATTTTGAGGTCTTTTTTCCATCATGTATTCAACAAATCATTAATATGAGAAGAGGTAAAAAATAATAATAAAGATATAAATAAAAATAAAAATATACGAAAATAAAAATATAAATATATAGAGTTAAAAAAGAAAGGAAGGAAAAGAAAGAAAAAGAAGAACTTATGAAAAAGGATAGGAAGATTTGGTTTTTGAAGCAAGAAGTAGGGGAGTTAAAAGAAAAACAAAAGTGAAAATATGAAGAAGAGTTGTTTAAGAAAAGAAAAGAAAAGAAAAAAGAAAAAGAAAAAGAAAAAGAAGTCGAGTTTGTTTCATCAGAAAGATATAAAAAAGCAGTAAAGTTTAGAATAAGGAATAATAGAGAGAAGTGTGATAAAGTTGAAAGAGAAAATAAGAAGTTAAAGAATAAGTTGAAAAAGAAAGAAATCATAAATATAGAGTTATTAGAAAAAGTTGATAAGTTGGAGAAAAATGTAATAGGAAGTTTAGAAGAACAGGTAGAGGAAATGTTAATAGATATTGATAAGGAAAAGGTAGAATTAGAAGATGATTTAGAGTTGGCGAGTAGAGAAATTAGGAGGTTAGAACAAAAAAATGAGGAATTAAAGAAAAAATGAAATGAGTGGTTTGGAGTATAAAAGGTTGTTAAATTAGAAAGTAGAATTTGTAGGATTTAATTAGGTTTTTAAAATAATAAAGGAAATTGTTCGAAAAATAAAAAAAATTAAGTTTTAAGAAGTTGTTCGATAAACTTCTAATAAAAATAAAGTTTAAAAATATTTAAAGAAAATAAATCTGTTTCTAAAATTATTTAAAAATTGTTCAAAGAAAAATAAATCTGAGTCTAAAATTGTTTAAAAAATTCGATGTATTTTTATCGGGTTTTGAAAATTTTCACTGAAAATTCTAAGTTTCGAAAATTATGATAAAATAAAATTTGAAATAAAAATCAAAATTAAAATATTCCTAATTGAGTAAAGGTAATACTTAAGGTTGTAAAAAGTATTAAAATAAGATTACTATTACTCGAATGAATAGTAATATCGAATAAAATAATAAAAGAAGATTGCTAATCAAGTATTTAGCTAAGGTCATCAGGTGGGTGCATCTAACTGAATTAGCTCCTTAGCATAGACTTGAACTATACACATTCAAGCGGCATAACAGTGCTATAATCCACATAGCTATACAGGGACAATTACAAAATTTTTAATGTAACTCCTTAAAACTGTTACCAAATTACATAATTAACCAATAGAATTTTAAAGTTTAACATGATTTTAAACTTTAAATAAAGGAAGTAATTAATTGTTTAATAAAAATATAAATTTAAATTTCCTTCAATAAAGGAAAAGAAAGAAAAAGAAATAAAAAAAATAAAAGTTTTGAATAAAAGAAAATACAAAGATATGCCACGTAGATATGATTAAGATCATATAGCTTTGAGGTATATAAAAAAAATTAAAATATTAAACTAATATACTGTTTATAAATTATAGAAGGACAAAGAAACAAGCAAAGATAGGGTAAGTAAAAGAAAAGAAAGGATAGAAAAGGAAATAATAATTTGGAAAGAAAAAGAAAAAAAATTTAATAAAATAATTTAAATAGAAGTGAAGTAGGAGAGATTCAAGAAAGTATTGGAGAAGAAGAATATTTTTCGTGTGAAGAAGTTGGAGAAGAATATGAAGATGAATATGAAGATGAAGAAGATAATGAAGAAGAAAATGAATTAGAAAAGTTAAGAAGAGAGAATAGAGAGTTGAGAGATGTAATTGATAAACAAAGAGAAAGTATAGTTGATGTAGTTGGAATAAAGTGGGAGTAGAAATCAAAGTATAATAAGTTAAGAGAAGAAAAAGATAGATTAAGGGCTCGAGTAGTTAATTTAGAAGAGGAGGTTAGAAGAGGAAGAAGTAGTAATGATAATAATAATAATAGTGAAGGTAGTAGTAGTAGAGAAAGAATAGTAGGATTTGGGTTTTTCGGAGGAAGATAAATGTAAATAAAAATTTAAGTAAATAAAATAAAATAAAATTTTGTTGTTAAAATAAATTCTGAGTCTAAGTATTATAAATATTAAAATATTAAATAATAAAATAAAATAAAATAAAATAAAGAATAAATGAATTTGGATCCTATGATTTCATAGTGGGCCAGAAGATAAAGACCTTTTATAAATTATAATATGCAGTAAAAACTTTGAATCCTAAGACTTTTCTGTTTTATGCATAAGCAAGACGAACAGAAAACAAGATAGTATCCATCACATTCGAATAGACTAGAGCTTGCAAGAGGCCTTTACTATTCATAATTTTATACTGTTAACAATCACATATAGTTCCCAAAATTCAGATTAACAAATATACTAACAAGTCACAACATTTGTTATTCACAGTTACAACTACTACATATTTTGTTAACCAAGAAAAAGAAAAGTAAAACTAATATTAAATAATTAAAAAGAATAATAAAATAAAATAAAATAAATAAAAAAATAGTGTTTGATGAAAATTAATGATGAAGAGGGATTTGAGTAAGAGAGATAGAAGAAGGCAAAGAGGAGGTAAAGTCATTAAAAGAGAGTGTAAATATTTTGAGCAGAGAATATTTTGTTATTGAATTTTAAATTATAAAAGATAAAAGAAGAGTATTGTTTTTAAAAAGGTTATAGTAGAGAGATCAAAATTTTAAAGATGCAAATTATTGTTGTAGATATTGTAGTATATTCCAAATATCAAAAATATTAATCTGTATTTTCTATTTCCAAAATAATATTAGGTCCTTATACCTACACATTTGGCTCGTGAGGTACCTGTCTATCAAGGCATTATTCATCTTGTGGGGGTTGCAGTAAGCTACGAGCTTTAAGAGTCCTTACGCCTACATATTTGGCTTGTGAGGTACTTGTCTATCAGGGCATTATTCATCCTATAGGGTTGCAGTAAGCTGCAAGTTACATCTAGGGATATTACTTCCGAGAATCCTTATCATCCAGGCATATTACTTCTGGGAAATCTTGAATCTATTTCTAATACTTGTAGAAATAAATTTAAAGTTTTTCATTAATATGTACGTAGTTAAACTTTTCAAGCATTAATGTTTAAGAATACTTGATAGAATCTTCCTAGCTTGATAAATTAAATTATATTTCTTTATGTTTTTAAGAGATAGCAACATAAAAACTACCAGTCACCTTTTGCTCAGAATTGACAAACTGTAAGTCTTTTTATACATTTTTTATTTGCAAAAGGTAGAGACATTCCTCATCATCAGCTCACTTTTGCTCAAAAGTAGCAAACTGTCTTGATATAAATAAATTAAAAATAGAATGTTCAAAGTAATGTTCATAATGTTTTGGGTCTATATCTACAATAGTGTTGAGTATAAGCATCTTCTAGTATCATAAATCTACAAGAACATAAATATGTCTAAGTCACATGTCTAAGGTAAAATTGTTTTAACTCTATGTAGTATCCAAGAGTTTGGTTGCATCTTAGTTTGTAAAACTCACTTTCTTTAATTACTATAGGTATATGATAACCTAAAAGTAATGAGTTTTGTGGAGGTCATCTACCATGTAGGAGGTAGGAAAAATTTCTAAAATTTTCACCTATGTGGCACAGTAGGGAAAAAGATACTTTGCAGATCATTTTCACAAAAGCTGTTCCGGAAGCATATTCGTACTATATAACCTTGACTTGGTGTCTTAAGTAAAGTTGTAGACCAAGTCCTTACAATTCTAACGCATATTGAAACGTTAAAATTGGTCCAGTGGGGAGCAAGATATGATGATTTTTGTAAATCACCAGAACTATGTTTCTCTTCTTTTCTTAGAGTTTCTTTAAGAAAATCATTTTGAAAATGCTAATAGAATTATTCAGAGCTATTTTCAGGTCAGAAAAGCATTTCATACTATGATATACCATAATGAAAGTTGTAGAAGAGGTTCTTGCGAGTACAATGGTATATGTTTTATCTTCCTACATTTTGTATTCACGGAGATATTAGCAAAATACGATATATAATTATAAATCGCTCTTGAGGAAGGTTCTCTTTGAATTTTCTTTTAGGGCTTGAGATGTACCACAATTCCGATGGTTCATCTGTATAATATTCATCTGTGTCTGCTCATATCAATAGCAAAGTTCTTGGAAGCTTCAAATTTTTTCAAATAGTTATAGGTATAATCTTCTCTGGGTCTCAATATACTTTTATAAAAATTATATTATATTAACTTGGTATTTCTAGGGTTTGGAGAATTGCATTTCGTTTTCTGTATAACCTAGATCATTACTGGAATATCATGGGTCTTTCTCAGAGTTTATGTAACATAAGTAGAGGATCATCAAAGAATTTAAGAGAGAGGCTTCTTTGGTTTTAGGGATCAGCAAAGGAGAGAAATAGAGGCTTCTTTTAGTGAAAAAGAGGTCCTATATATGTTATTTTTTAACATTTCCACCAGAAGGCACCAAAATGTTACAAGTAGTGTAGCCTTCTTAATACACCCCGAGTAACATAAGATATGGAAGGGGAACTCCCAACGGTGTCAAAGCGAAATGTTACTTCACTGTAGCAGTTTGTTAGAGAAGTTTATTTTTAAAGCCAAAAGATTATATTTATTAAAGAACTAAT